GAGACTAACAAATTTATTTGAGCATAAGCTTTCGTGGGCTACAGCCCACTTTATCGGATGCATAGAATGGAACACACAGAAAGAAGATATTTATACATACAGAGAACAAGAAAAGGTGGAAGTAGCCATACCAACTGTAAGAGGCCAATCAATTGAGATGAGCTATCATCAGCAGGAGAAAAAAAAATTTAAATGATAATCGAGATGACCTATAGAAGGTGTGAGGATAACTTAACATGGGGAAATAGATTCAATTCGTGTAATGACCCAACCATTCCTAGTCTCTGTTTAAACCTAAGTTAATTGTATCTAATTTGCATATTAATTCAAGTTCAGCAGTCTCTCTTTGGAGTCTGTTTTTGAAGTTTTTTTGTTGCAAAATTGCCACCTTCAAGTCTGTCATTGAGTGGTTAGAGAGGTTGAAGTGTTCTCCCACTGGTTTTTGAATGTTATAATTCCTGATGTCAGATTTGTGTCCATTTATTCTTTTGCGTAGAGATTGTCTGGTTTGGCCAATGTATATGGCAGAGGGGCATTGCTGGGACATGATGGCATATATCACATTGGTAGATGTGCAGGTGAACAAGCCCCTGATGGCGTGGCTGATGGGATTAGGTCCTATGTTGGTGTCACTCGAATAGATATGTGGACAGAGTTGGCATCGGGCATCGTAAGTTTATGCTCAAATAAATTTGTTAGTCTCTAAGGTGCCACAAGTACTCCCGTTCTTTTTGCGGATACAGACCAACACGGCTGCTATTCTGAAACCTTTTAAAGATGTGTTCACCAAGCTTGCCAGCTGAGAGAGTCTCTGGCCTTTACTCCCAGGGAGGGTGTGGCACGTGTGCTTGCTGATATTTTTCAGCTGACTGGGAGGATCTTACAACTTCTAGCTTTTAGCTTCCTAAAGTTTAAAGTAAATGTAAACAGTGAGCCTTCCAATTAGGAAGGAAGAAAAAACAAGAGTGGTGCTCAGGGGATAGACAGAGAAGGGGAAAGCTGTTATCTTCAGAAAAACAAACTGGAAACATTGAAAAGTATTGAAGGTGAGGTTTTTATATCATATTTGTAAGATCATCATGCTTCTTCATTTAAGGGCTATTAGTAACAATGGAATTGTATTTTTTTCATTGTACATTTTTACTAAACTTATAGATAGGATCATTTTTTAATCTTGTGTATAGACTCCCTGCGGGAGGGGATTTTTCACTAGAATAATGCTGTTTCAGGGGGCTTGTGGAACTCTGTTGACATGTGTCTGTCATCTTATTGCTTAATTCTTTCTCTTGTCTTTGTCCCTTGCCTGTAGAGCAAATACTTCCATCTTAATCAAAAATGAGGGGAAAGTAACATGGCTTTTTAAATATTTGCTGCTCTTGTACAAGGAAGATGTGAGCACAGGGGAGCAGTTGATCTCAGTAGTTCCCATTCCCGTTGAAGCACCCATTTGCAATAGGCTGGTGGACTGGTGTCACCAGTTTTCCCAGTATCATCGTTTCTTGCTCTGCATTCTGACTCCAATTGCCACCGTTTCACCGTTTATTTCTATTTTAATTATTTTGTTTTATTTCATTTTTTGTTCTGTCTCTCACCAATTTCCCCCCACTGCCCCAGGGCCGTATTTAACTCCTACTGAAATGAATTAATGGGTGTGTTTCCATTGACTTCATTGGAAGGTAGATTGGGGCCACAACAGCCCAAAGCTACTCAGTGGGGGCATGCAGGGATTGCTGTGTCAGCCTGGGCTACCTGCTGGGAAGAAGAGAAGGTTGGGCTAGTGAGCTGCTCCTTGTACACATGTCCTGTTCCTAGGGGCTGCTGCAGGAACAGGGTGAGAAGGCTTTTAAGGAGCCAGCTATCACAAGCACAGAGGCATGTGTAGATCTAGAGTGGTGCAGTTCTTCTCCCCTCCCCCCTCCTCCAGTTCTTATGCACCCCCTGAGCTAGTCTGGTGCCTCCCTTTGGGAGACATTAATCACAGTCCTCCTATAGAGCCTGCAGAGGAGCTCATACTTTTTTTGTGGAGCTGTCAAAACGGGCCTATTACCTTTGGATTTTTTTTCGAAAAGCAATCTAAGAAAAATGGATTCTGACCTAATGCAGGCTGCCAGTTTTGGGGCCTAAACTCCTTAATTATATCCCTCTTACGGTGAATGCAAATGGAAAAAAAAACCACTCTAGAATTAACAATTAGGTTGGATACTTGTATCCCTATTTTATAAAATATTTCTTACCAATATAAAGTCAGTCCCATACGAGCGTCAGCTCCAGCTTCCCACCGCATCTGCTCTGCTGCCATCCTTTGTGTCCTGTTGATATGGCAGCAGGGCTAAATCAGCAGTGCACTTGCCAGCATCAAGCTGTATGTGACCCTCCATGTTTTCTAATACAAATAGAGATAAGATAGTGGGGCCATTTGTTTAAGCTTGTTACCTTTGCCTGTCATCTTGGAGCAGATGTTTATTCAGGTTGCACTTGATCTGGGGATAGCACATTTACATTGCTCAGTGACACATAAAATACAAGAAACAAATCCCGAAGGAACAAACTTACAACTAATGTTTACAGATAAACTAACAAAAACTCCCCTCACCATCCTAAAATAGCTCATTTCTGCTGATTGGCTTTTTAATCTTTCAGTGGGTTGTCTTGAATACTCAGAATCATCTTCTGAGTGGGCTGGTCTTCCTGAAAAATGGGAAAGTCTCTGGGTGTTTGCGCAACAGGCATTTATCAAGAAGGTTGGGGCAGGGTGATAGTAAGTCTCTTGCCAGAACTAACTATTTGTGTAGGGCACCATGATGGCAGAGTAGTGCAGAGAAGATTGAGCTAAAACTCAGCTCTGGGAGTAAGGAATAATCAGTGAAACATTGAAAATGTCAATGTAAATTTAACTTTTCAAGGTATTTTTAGACATGAGGTTTATTTGGAAAACTCCCGAAAGCAATGTGTTTGCTTCTAAGGCGATTTTTCTCTATTTCCTTGCCCATTAAACATGATCTAAATAACATTGGTGTCGCTCCCTATTAAACATGATCTAAATAATATGGTGTCGCTCCATTGATATCAAGGTAACTTTCCCTTTTGAGGTGGTGCCGAGGTGCATCGGCATTCTGTTAGCATCCATGATATGGAAATAAACCTTTTACTTGTAAGGCTGTCATAAACAAACTTACAAGTAATTAGGGTGACCTTGTGCCTCTTGTTTACAGGTAGGGTTCTTTCACAGACTGCTCCGGGAACTCCACCAAAGACCATAACCATCTCTGAGAGTGGAGTTATTGGGCCTTCTTTAGGTTCTACAACGCAACAGACACCGAATAAAATAGCTATCTCCCCGCTGAAGTCCCCTAATAAGGTAAAACACCTTGCCTTTTGCGTAAGCGTGGTGTATATGTGTGCAGTGCACTGAAGAAGCCCTCTAGTAGTGTGGAATTGTTTGCTGCAGAATGAATTTAACCAGCTTCTTCATTTTGCTCAGCAGCTGACAGTGGTGTCGGTGGCCTCGCAGCCTCCTAACTCCCCTCAGAAGACGGTTGGTGTTCCTCTGAATGTAGCCTTAGGACAGCAGATCCTCACAGTGCAGCAGTCAGCACCCTCTTCCCCTGGCAAGGCCATAGTCAACCATACAACTGCTCAGGTATATACTGGCTTTCCTTGTACTATACGGTTTTATCTTCCATGAGTCAGCTTCAATTTCCAGTCTTTGTCTGAGAGCACTCGGCTGTCACAGGGTGTTCTTGTTCATGGGGACTGCCAGACACCAGAAGCATCACCCTGTGGAGCAGGCAGTCTTACTACCCAAGAGCCAAAATTAATGCTATTAAATCTGAGATCACTAGGCATGCAGAGGGAAGCCAAGCAGTTAGACAATGACTTATCAAAGCTGGGGAATTGAATGGTCCATCAGCTGCTTTTTAAATAGGAGAAGAACAGAAGCTAAATCCATAAGTATGTAAAAAGGACTTTAAACTTGTTTTACTGGTTAGCTGTAGAAAGCCTCTCTCTCTTTTTGGTTCGACTGCATTAAATTTGCTTTAAGCTATTTTCTTGCCTCTTAGAATTGCACATATGTGGCATTATTTTGTCACATCAAAATGATAGAAACTGAAATATGGATAAATAAAAGTAAGAATGGTAGTTACTAGGAGGTGCTGCAAATCATTTTCTGCTCGGAGGCACTTACGTGGCACCTTCACTAGCTGCTTGGGTTTAAGGGAGAGTTCAGAATGTAGGGCTTGAATCTCAGAGGTTTTGCATACCTCCTGGGAGATTGGGGACACTCTGCTCTCCACAAATCAAGCCCTAATCTGTAAGGCTGTACCATTTCTTCATACAGAATTGTTTTGTCTTTCAAACTGTGGTGTCGTCCACAAATACAGACATCTTGGAGCAGGCCAATCCAGTGGCAGTGAACTCAGGGTTTTCAGGCTGTTGAATACAATGTGATAGCAAAGGATTTTTTTTGAAAACGCACCACTTCTTCCACAATTTGTTGTGAGTGGCAAAGGAGTAATGTGTTCAAAATCAGCTGAAGAAGGTGCAGAGTGAGCCCGTTTGATCCTTTTGGGGAACGGAGGTTTTCCCTCATAACTTTGCAAACTGATTCAGTGCCTATTTCATATCTTCTCTGTTTAATTTTTCTTTTATTTTACTTGGTACTAACGTACTATCAAGTTGTCCCACTACAGGTCCTGATTGTACAGCTGCTTCGCACATGAACTCCTGTAGAAATCAATGGGAGTTCTGTGCCCAAAGAGCCTGCAGAATTGGGTCCATAGTGAGGATTAACTCATACCAAGTTTTAGGCTGGAGCCTATAGCTTCAGGACACAGCACTTCTGCCAAAGCTCAGTCATTTATCTCTGTAGATATTTGTTACTCTCATCATTGTGCTACTTGAGCTTTATTAGGCTGATGATATTATCTGGTTTGCATCTTCTTATTTTATTAAGGACTGGAAAGAAGCCCGGATTGTGGTTGAGTAAATTGAATTTTAGCAGCAGAATACCTTGATCAATTTGTGTAAGTAATAAGGGACAAGCACACACAAGTAAAGAAAGAGCTAAGGCTGCTACTCTGTTTTCACTGAGAACACTTGGTCCAAATACGGCAGGTCTCTCATTTTGGCATATTCTATTCCCCAAGTACCTGGGAACAATGGACATGGAGCCTTGATCTCAAAGGCACTCGTGAAACTAGTGCAAAAGCTGATTTAAAACTAGAACTGGAGTCTAACATCTAGTGAAATCAAACTCTTAACCTTTTTTGCTTCATCCAGCATCTGGTCCCATGCCCTTTTTAGGATGACCAAATATCTCACTCACAAAAGGAATCAGAGCTGAAAATAGAGAAAGTTGTCCACAGTTTGTGCTTGCAGAGTATGCTGTAGAAAAGAATCGAGTATCTCCCCAAACTGCCATACATTTGCCAGATGATACTCTGTTGTATTATATATGGTAAAATAAGGGATTTCCAAACAGCATCTATTTGTTTGGTAGCTCCAAAAGCTAGAGATAATACAAGCTTCTGGTGCATAATAGAGACTTTATACTTCTGGACATCTGGAACTAACACTGTATGGCTCAGCTTGTCTATCTTGAGAGCTGGCTGTTGGCTTGTTGTGTGGTATAACAAGATGTCACTAACACCTCGGTTAGGTGGTTTCCTCTTCCTTTCATTTTTTCCCTTTTTCAATTTCATCTCAGACACTCCGTAATTATCCTTATAGTAAGAAGCACCATGCAGTGCTGAAGATTGACAGGAAGATGGGACAACACAACCACAATAAACATTCTAGCTCAGCTTAAAAAAAAATTGTTGCTTTTGGTGAAACAGCTATCTCTCAAGGTTGTCTCTACCATAATTTCAGAGTGGTAGCCGTGTTAGTCTGTATCAGCAAAAAGAACGGGGCACCTTAGAGACTAACAGATTTATTTAGGCATAAGCTTTCATGGGCTAAAACCCACTTCATCAGATGCATGCCACGAGTGACCAATGTGTCTGACCAGGTTAAAAAAGACAAGGTGGGTGAGAATGTCTTAAAATATGACAGGTTTCAGAGTAGCAGCCGTGTTAGTCTGTATCCGCAAAAAGAAGAACAGGAGTACTTGTGGCACCTTAGAGACTAACAAATTTATTAGTCTCTAAGGTGCCACAAGTACTCCTGTTCTTCCCTTAAAATATGTTAACTAATTCTTTTTAGAGTATGTGCAACGTGCCTCCTCTGGCACATGACCAGGATTCATCACCGAATTTGGTCTGCCG